GGTACCAATTAAGTCGCGGGGGGGGGGGGAGGGGGGGGGGTAGAGTAAGTAACTTAGATGTTCACACAGCTGCAATAATAAGCACTGTCCTGCATTTTTACTTATGCTGCTGTACTATGGCAAATTACAGCACTCAGGACTGCAGCATGCAGAAATTTTCCAAAGTATTGCTGAAAAAAATCCAGTTGAAAACAATAGAGGGAGTTTATCAAAACTGGAGTAGTTGCCCATGGCAACCAATCAGCATATCTCTTCAGTTTGCTCAGGTAAGATTTGAAAATGAGACAGGGAAGCTGATTGGTTTCAGTGCAAATCTGCTCCAGTTTTGATCAATTCCTCCCAATGTATTTTTGGCATTTTGCCCTTATTGTAAGAAGCAAATGCTAACAGCATGACATGCAAAAGCCCTAAAAGTTCAGAAAGAAAAAATAAATAAATCTTACCTGCTTGATTTCTCTCAAGAGATCTGCATCTACATAATAATTTTCTTCTGATCTCACTGCTCCAAAGTGGTTCTGCATTCTGATCTGTGACATCAGTTCATTAAGTCTCCCCTACAAGAAATAAAACAAGAAGAGCTGTGGTTAAACTACTAATATGCCAGAAAACAAGAGACCAGAAGTCAGCATTAGAAGTGGATCAGAAACTAGAAAAAGTAGCATCTTGAAGTACACCTGTCAGGAAAGATATGTGGGCTGCCACTGCTGGCCTCCTCCTTAAAATGCTGGTTGCCTGGTTGTATCTGGCTTCAGTACATGTTTTGTAGACCCGTGAGCGGCAAGGAGCAAATTAAAGCAGAATCTGCATTAAAATGCAAGGTCCCTCAATTTAGTTTTTCCTTTAGGTTTTACTTAACATTTTAACATACAGGAATGGGAAGGCTTAATAAATAGCAGAATCTTACCTTTTCATGCAAATCTGTTTTAAAATCTGTATTTCTCTATAGTTCTTCCAGGTCAGGGAACCCAGAGCATAAGCATGACAGTTAGCCTTATACTACAAAAGTTCTTTCAGCCTAAAGCTAGCCCATACCAACACATTTTATTGCAGACATTATCTTTTAAATCAACAAAATGTCACATGTTGTGCGAGGGCCTACCTAAAAATGTTCAGATTACAGCCAGATCAGATAATCTCTTACATTAAACAATGGATGATAAATCTGTTGGTCTAAGACCATGGTTCTCAGCTGGTGGGTAGCGACCCAAAAGTGGGTCTCAGTTTGCCTTTTTACTGCGCTAGGTGAGATGCTCTTCAGCCTCCCCTAGCACAGCACTGTCAGTTCTCGTTCAGAGCGGCCATTCAAAATATGCAGTCAGCTGTCAGCTTGAGGTGGGGTAGGCTGGGGGTATGGCTGCGAGGGAGCTTCAGCCGTAAGAGCATTGTGCCCTGTAGAGGTGCCTGGGCCAAAGTGACATCACATTCTGGCTCCCGTCACCTCTACAGGGCACATAGGGGAGCTGTACAAGCAATGCACATATGGATGGAGCTTTGACACAGCAGCCCACACTGGACCAAAGCCGAGGATCCACTCCAGGTCTCGGAAGGTAGGGAGACTGGGTGGATCATAACAAAAAGGAAAAAAATATTTATTCATTTTGGAGTATGTAGGTGTGAGAATGTATGAGTGTGTGTGAGATTGTGTGTGTCTAAGTGTTTTAGGAGGGCCCCTTTACACTAGTCCTGTGCGATTAACGCACTGTACCGTGCAATTGCACCTGTGCATTCTGGTGTGGGGGGTGCGTTGCATTGCCCTTTATTTCAATGGCACCCCAAACGCACCACCTGCCCATAGTTCGATCGCCGGCCCTGGAACACGCTGTACCACAATGCCGTTTGTTCCAGTGTGGTGTGACTTGGGTCGCAACTCAATTACCAAGGACAAATGTGGGTCCGGAGGTTACACAGGTTGAGAACCACTGATCTAAGATTAAAAGGAGAACTATGGGGCGAGTTAATTACACTCATCCTCATAGAGCCGACATGGGACACAAACTTTCACAAGTTGGCTATATTGATCAGGAAATGAGTGAAAACATACCGCCACTCGCACACTTTCCGATCATCTCCCTGCAGAGAGCGGTGACTGCAAGTCAACGCTCCCCACAGGAATCCCCCCCCCTCCCCTCTAGGATCTTCGGCGCTGACTGGAGGGACGGACTAGGGAGGGGGCAGACATAGCTGGCTCTGCCGCTAGATAGGCAGAGTCCGCTGTCAATCGGCCAGCTGGGTGGATGAAAATTATTGTCGGGATTCCTCCCGGCTGCGGCGCTCTCAGCATATGGCGGGCAATGGCCTGCTATATACTGAGTTTTGGGTCACCGGAGGATGTTAGTATATGTCCTCCCATGACACTAAAGAGAACTATGGCGAAAAAAAAAGGTTACCACATAGTTCTCTTTTAAATCTACAAACTAAATCTGAATGCTGACCAAACAAGTCAATTAACTTAGAGCAGACCTAAACTGTCTGCATTAAGAAGGGCAGTAAATTCAGAAAACAATTTGGTCTAAGCTGTAACAGCAGATTGATTCCTTCTATGTTTTCGTTGAAGCTGCAGACACAGCGGATATGGATGCTGAGTCTCCAGTGAAAGTAAATTAAAAATCTGTTGCGGTCCTCAACATACAGCTAGCTGTAAGCCACATGTTGGCTTTAAGTCACTAACCCAGTACCACAATGCCAGAGCACCTGCTATTTACAGCTGCGTTTCTTCTGCTTTTATTGATCCTCCCCTACCTTTTCTATACTAAACATTCATTACTATAAAGTAAACCACTAAATGGCATGTATAAAAAGTAATCAATAACTTACAAAACGGTCCTAAAATGTACCTTGAATTGTGTAGGAGCATTAAGTTCACTCTGGATGGTGTCCAGTTGCACACGCAGATGTTCCTCTTCTGCTTGAATTGCAAATCCACTCTTTCTCTGAATTTCTTGTTTTATTAAAACCTGTTGATAGAACATTCATCAGTAAAATATTTAGTTATTATACCAAGTGTAATGCTCAACTAGTTGAACAAAAACTGTATGCAACCTTCCTAACCTAAAGCAACTAAAAACAGGATTTTTGTACTTGCCTTTTAATCCTTTTCTCCAGGTTTATTGATGGGCATAGCTTGATGATATTAAGCAACGTAGGGTACACTGCTGCCAACAGAAGAAATGAACACTAGGCACATACCAACTGAAAGCCTGCCCCTTTAAGGCTATAACTCCTCCCACCTCACCAGTTGTAGTAAACCCTCCACAGAGGAAAGCCAGCAAATATGGGGAGGGAGCTGGGTCCCTCAATGGTTTCTGAAAAGGATTTTACAGTGCAGTGCAAAAATCAGTGCAGTTTACAGTGCAAAAATCTTATTTTTCCTATTGTCCATTGATGTACACAGCTTGAGGGTATTAATCAGCGTAGGGACATCCAAAAGCAGTTCAAACAGAGAGGCAAGGACGCCAAATAAAGCAGATGAACGAGTCCAACAAGGTAAACTCAAAGACAAGGGAAGAACAAGGTCAATAAACAGTCGTTCAACAGGTAGGTACACCGGCCTTGAAATACTTAGCAAATGTGGCATCCGTGTAGATTAAAAATATTACCGCTTTTGCCCCGCATGGTCTTTCGCAGGGAAAACCATGCGGGAACCCCAAAAGCTGTGTGAATGCAGCCTTAGGCTCCGTTTTCACACATTAGCAGTTTCCCGCGCATATTCGTAAACAAGCTAAGCATAAAAGCAAATGCATTGCAATGTATCTTGTTCACACCAGGGCGGTGAGAAAATGGGTGGCGCGCAAAAAAGTCCAAGTGCGATATTCTGGGCGGATTCAGGGCATTCTGGCTATAAGTAGTAGCAACAAACAACAAGCAAAAACAGCTTCAGACCCCCAAACAATTACCGTATATACTCGAGTATAAGCCGTCCCGAATATAAGCCGAGGTACCTAATTTTACCAAAAAAAAACTGGGAAAAAGTATTGACCCGAATATAAGCCGAGGGTGGGAAATGAGGCAGCTAATGGTAGATAGATACCAATAAAATTACATGAATATTTAATATACTCAAGTATAAGCCGAGGGGGGCACTTTTCACCCAAAAAAATGGGCTGAAAATCTCGGCTTATACTCAAGTATATACGGTATATACCGTATGTTCTGAAAGCAGAGGTCCTGTAGAATAAAAAAATGCTAATTGCAATCTTTTATGTTGCAAGGCATTTGCGCAAATGTTTATCAAACAACTATTTTTAGGATAAAATACACTAAAATTAAATTTAGTGCACAGAAACAGAATAGAAAACCCAATTTTTTGGTAAAATATAAAAGATGTGGTCACGTCGGGTAAATAGATACCAAACATGTCAAGCCTTTAAAATTGCGTTCGCCCGTGAAGCCTCATAAAACTTAATTACCCAAAATTTCCCATAGGGGACACTTTAAAAGCTTTTACCGCTCATCAGTTTAGTGATAACAGCGATTAATGGCTCTAGAATTACTGCTCTCACTCGGACGGCCACGGCGATATGCAACAAGCGTAGCGCAATTTTTGTTTTTGCACGTAGGCGCACTAAAGCGTTTGTGTATGTATGTGCATGCATGTGAGGGGAGGGGGACTTGTAAAATTTTGTTACTTTCATTTTTTTTTTTACACTAACCTTATTGCTATCACATAGGGGGCTATGTAATAGCAGATAGGGTGTGACAGGTCTTCTTTATGGGGGCATCAGGGGTCTTTCAGATCCCCAATGTCACCTAGGGACCCAAAAGAAGCTGAGGAAGTAGAGATCTGCTTTCCCAGCTTCTCCTAACTCTAAGAGCCACAGAATGTACAGTGACACCGGAAGTGATGTAGTACCTATCACTTCTGGGTCCAGTGATCGGAGGAGAGATCAGTGGCTGGAAGCTCTCGATCATTGCGTGGAGACCCGTCGTGGCAGTCCCGGGCCCCGCACAAGGAGGAAGTGAGGGCAACACATGCCGGCGATCTGTACAAATGATCCGGCGGCTGTATAGACATCGGATCGCTTGTCTTTGAACTGCCATCGCCGGCTGTTTAAAATGACACCAGCAGCAGCCATGTTCTTGGTTCAGCCACTTCTGTGGGCCGCCGTATATGTACGTATTGCAGGCCGGAAGTGGTTACAATGTGAAAATTTGTTTGTTGCAAACGCTGTGTGAGTGTATGGAGCCTTAGCTAGGGTAGCTCAACAGTATTGGTGGTTGAATGCCAGTCTTTTAGATACTCACTACATAGTCAATGACCTGAATCAAATATGCAGCCAGTGAAGTCACAGGTTGTGTCCCACATGCTTACTCATTACTAAAGCAAGGTTAAGAATAAATGTTTTGGAGCCCACACAGTCAGCAATGGCAGAACCACATTCTATCATCACAGGTACTCTTTAAAGTGGACCTTCCAGCTAAAATTACAGAACACTGAAAACAATTAATGGCTCAACCATAGTACTTTCATTTTATTTTGGGGACAGGGCAGCCTGGAATATTTCAGCCACACCTGGATAAAAAATAGAAACCGTGGGCAAGGCTGTGTTCACAGCGACGTAAAAGGAGAACTATGGGGTTAGGGCTTTTCCCCATAGTTCTCCTTAGGGTAACGAAGACCGGTACACTTCAGTTCCTTGTTTCCCCATAAAAAATACGACCATGTGTGGCCCTTGGCAAGACATTTGAGCTACACAATGCCCTACAAGTGTAAGCAGTGGCCAATCACTGGTACAATGTATGCCACTCTACTTTATATACAGATATTGATACCTCCTTGTAAGCTGTAAAAATGAACAACGGTAAGTTTAGTAGATCATCATTATTGGGTTTAACATGCATGAAAGAATTCTATGCCTTTCTCACCCATGCATTTTGGGTGGTGGAGGATGGAAGCTAAACCTGTGGGGGAAAGTTCTCATTTAAATTCCAAGCTGCCTAAGACCCATAGTTTACAGCAGAAAATCTCTAGATGGCGGCTACAGAGGCATTACACTTACATCCCAACAATCCTGAGTTGAGATTATTATAGAGTTGTCTTCTGAATAACACAGGTTTCTTGATTACACCCAAAGCTCCAAATAAAGAAATTAAGCATACCTGAAGGACTCTGTGGGAGAGCTCCATTAGTTTCCGTTTGTACTGTGCAATCTTAGCCACTGTTGTTGCCTGATTTTTTTGCAGTTCACTTATATCTTCAGATATCATCTAAAACAGATAAAACACACACCTGCCTCTATTAAATGCCATTAAAATGATTCATTTATAAAAGGTGGAGAAATATTAAATTTCGTCTTACGTCTAGTCTACTCTGGTGCCGTTTTGTCATCTGATCTTGAACTTTAAGTCTTCTAAGTAGCTCTTTGAAGCCAACCATTGCAACAGGGATCAGCCTGAAAAAAGAAAATATGGGCTTACACATGGAGGTAAATTGTTTACTAGATTCATAATTTTGAAAACAAGAATCTTTACATAATGACACCTACACAAAACAAAAAACTCCCATGAATGATGGTACTCTATTTTTTTTCCCTTTGCCTTTATAAAAAAAAAAAAAAAAAACCGACTGAACTGGTGACAAATTAAAGCGGTCCATAAATACCTAATCTGACTGCTGAGACTGCCACAGACATGCACAACCAAAAGCTACTGCTGGTATCTGTACAAGTGAAAAAGCATGATAGGATGCAAACTGATCCAAAAGTATCACACATTTCAGGTGATGACTACACCAAAAAATATAAAACCAGAATATTGATTTCTTTGCATTTTCAATAGTCACTCGTACACATAAAACTTCATGTTAGTTTATACAGTGCAACTAGAAAGAAAGGGGGGGGAGTCAACACCCCACCCTCTGATAACTCAGTGATCTTGATTTATAGTATACAACATCCTAGATATTGCATTTGTGGACAGAATATAGCAAATATCTGTGGTCTGAAAGCAATTTCTTTTAAAGGGCATGCACTCACCTCTCTGAATCAGGGTTGTCTATTTTTGCTTGTTCCCAAATATTACGATCCACACCTTAAAAAAGAAAAAAAAAAGAAGAAATTCTGTCCCGTCAAAAAGAAATTGCTCAAGCACATTCCCTTTCCAATCTTAAAACAAAGAAAAAGAACTTTATTTCTATAAACAATAATTCCAGTATTGTTGGTAAAGCGACCGTATGGTACTGGTCCCACAATCTCTATGCCCACAGCCTTGCTTTAAAAAGACAAGTAATATGTAAAACATTAAAATTCCTGGCAGGTAATAGCGATTTTGATGCTAAAACCAGCAAACAAATGTAGGTATTTTATATCAGGGGCATTAGTAATCACCAAGGTGGACTTTTTTGTCTCTGCTCCCAGATGACCACCTGTGCAGCCACTTACACTCAAGCGCATAACAGCACAGACAGTTCCAAAGAGTCAGCCTAGAACAGGGCTGCTGGCTGAGGGATCTTGGGAACTGTAGTCTAACAGGGTGCAGCTACTGTACATCAAGGGGAAGACACACAGGGTGCCCTGCCGACCCATTTACACCAGCAGCCACATTTCTAATATTCTTACAATCACAAGTTCACTTAAAGAGCAAAAAAGTTCTAACAGTTCTGAGTGTACACTTGTATTCTACCTCAAGTTCGATTCTTAGGGAAATAACACTTACATATAAGGTGCCACTGTTTTCCACATGTACACTGCAACACTGAGCACTCATTCTATCAAAAGGCACAAAGTTATAAAATGCTTTACCTGCAGGTGGGTTCTGCAGCAGCTGCTTTATTTGTGTTGGGGAAAGCTCCGTTCTGGCCATAGTTAATGCGACTCCAAGCTGCTGCAAATTAGCCTTCACATTGGCTTGCTCAAAGTAGCCTTGTAAAGAACTGGATGGGACTCTTCTGGAGGTTCCATTTGGTGAACGCTCTACAACGTATATGACAACTTCCACTCTAGAAAGATAAATCCATTGAAATGCATAAGCTCACTGACTGCCAGCTGCATTTACATTTTCCCCCATCATAGCTTGTGCCAATTTTTCATTTTCATAAATAGAAATGCTTTCCTCGCAGCTAGAAAATGCAACACACACATTTTATGAATTGATCAGTGAGGTCACTACAGCTTTAACATAAAAGTCATTTTAAAGATAACCCATCAAGAATGCAGCTACCCCAGACTCCCATATGAACCCCAATTTAAGGAGCAGGCACATCACTGCATGCAATAATACAGAGGCTAACTATATAACTATGTTCTGTACTACAGAGGTTCGGTAGATTCCATGCCAACTGGCAGCTTCCGCTATGACATGTTACAGCAGCATTGAGAAGTTACCTTTATATTTAATTATCCTTCAAAAAGAACAACAATTAAGCAACTGCTTGAATACTCTATACACATTGAATCATCTTGGGTACTTACTGGTCATCAGGCACAGTTCTGACTCCCTCCACGTTAACAGTGAGGGTCTGGTGCGCTCCTAGGACTTTGTGCAATGATTCTACTAACTGTTGTTGTTGAGCTCGAATGTCTGCTTCCTTTCTGTTAAATACCAATTCCACAAGACCATCTTCATCCTTGTTGGTGGCTACACAGCTGAAACCAATGGCCTTGAAGAACATTTTTAGAGGGACAAAAAAAGATTTGGATTTAGTAATTTTACATACAAACATATCACAAAATTGGTATGACCTCTTTTCTTAACAGAGAATGTTCGCTTTTTAAAAAAATAGTACACATGAACTAGCTAAATACGCATTAAAATATGGTCAGCAGTACAGGTTACATATGATAGTTAAAAACTTTAGCATCAGAGAGAAGCCTTTGGCATACCTGACTGGTGAGCCACTCAATGTTAGACCAGGTCATTCCAAGAAAAACCAACTGGGGTGGTGCGCCTATAAAATAACCTTTAACGTACAATTCCATGTAACAAGTAAGCTATTCATGCTAACCAGCAAATAATGCAACTGTCCTAAAGCAAAAGATCTCAGTTCTCAGTAATCCACATCACACACAAGGCTCTTAAACAAGGAATGCACTTTCCCAGGCCTGCACTGTACAGCTTTTTACCCCTGGGCTTACCTGATCACATTTTAATTTTTAAGTCATGTTTAAAAAATGTATTAGGGGCTATGAGAAATTACTTTGGACAGGCCTTCTGTATGCGTGGGATAAGAAGAAGGCTGCAGAGGATGTTTGGGAATTCCTCTCCTACATCAGAACCTGGGTTTCCAAGATTAAACGATTAATGGCAAAAGTTACAGGGGGTGGACTGGTGCACTTTAGCAATAGCTGGTTGCAAAATTAATGTACTGGGGATGAAGGTAGTGCCACTGTATGCATTTAAAGCTTTATTTTTCTGTTTTAACTAGAAAATGTACATTTAAACACCGTCATTTATAGGTGCCATATGTATAGATAAGATTGGAAAGTGCTGAAATGTTCAATTGAACTTGTGCAAAAACTGCAACACCCCTTATATGTATTCCTTCTGGTCATTGTCACATATTTAAAGCAACCTTGAGAAATCTTTGCTTTCTTCAAGAGCAACAGGCACTGCTGCTATCAGACACACTTTTAGGTGTGGTGGATAATATAGTCTTTGTTGGTGTGTAATTGCTTCTGCAGTCCCCAACATCACTACTGTTGCCTGTCCGTGGCAGGGGACACACTATCCAACACCTCCAAAAGTGTGGGAACGCAGCAATGCCTGTAACTAAAATGTCCAGCACTGCCCCCGGACAGGTCATTATTCACTCCTCTCTTTTATAGGGTGCCTCTAAGTTTTATTAAAACGGGTTGCACGATTAGCACAGTGACTATTCAACGAACACCTAAAGTTGAATTTATCAAAACTGGAGCAGCTGTGCATGACAACCAATCAGCTTCTCTTCAGTTTGTACAGTTAAGATTTGAAAACGAAAGAGAGAAGCTGATTGGTTGCTATGCACAGCTGCTCCAGATTTTGATAAATTCCCCTCTTAGTATTTTTATCAATGAATACAAGGCATTCTCTAACTGGACAAGGGGTAGTGGCACCACAGTGCCGCCCCTTGTTCCTGTGGCCCTTCCAGGTATAAAATATGTATACCTACATTGGGCCAAGCTGGACTAATGTAAAATATACAAATATTTATATGTGACGTTCAACTTTAACTAATGAACGGAGAGTAAACAGATATAAAAAAAGTATCATGAAAAAGCCTGTATGTTACCTTGAACCTGCAAAACGGGTTTTCTTGTGTGAATTCAACAGGGGGTATGTTATTGTTAAAGTAACCTTTTCCTGTTCCCCACAAGGCCTGAAGTTGGTTCCATTTTGCCATGATGGCATCTCTCTCATCACCAAGTAATATTGGTGCATTAAGTGCGCTTGCTGCATTGTACAGTTGATTTGACTGATTAGCATTTTGCGCTGGCTGCCCAAAGAGTCCACCTAGAACTGGAACAAGAACGAAGGTTCCAAATTAAGAGCAATGTGGTCCAACCACATACAACAAAAAACACTAAAACACTACATACAACTGACATAAAACCATCACAAGAATAGATGTCAACTAACCATTCTGTTGTTGTTGCTGAGGTTGAGTGTTGAAGCCAGTCAGACCAAAACCAGTTGATAAACCACCAGTGCCAAGACCTGTGTTTGTTCCTGTTGCTCCAAAAGCGCCAAATCCAAATCCTTTGTTTTGACTGTTTCCAAAAAGACCTAAAAAGGGTACATGAATAGAGAACAATGAAAATGCAAAAAAAAAAAAAGTACACAAAAGTAAAGAAAGCACTGTCGTATACATAAAAAAGCCTTTACTATCTTTAATGTCAAGCACTACTTGAAGGAAGCTGGAAGCTCCATGAGGTGCAAAATGTTATATTACTCTTACAGGGTCATTCACAAAAGTGTTAAGAGTTTGGAGAAGTCAGAAGAAGTGAACAATCTAGGACAACATAGCTGATTTGAAAAAATTCTCCTATTCAGCTCACTTTCTAGTTCAGCTATGTTGTCCTAGATTGTTCACTTCTCCTGCCTTCTCCAAACTCTTCAACCTTTTATGAATAATCCTGTAAATAGTGACAGAAAACAAATAAATTATATCCTGTACTGTGATCACAAAAGGAATAAAAGTCAAGTCCTTACCAGTTGTGCCAGTGTTAGTAGGCGCTGTGAAACTAAAACCGGTGCCAGGGGCTGTAGTAGTTGTGGTTCCAAAGCCTCCAAAACCACCTGAACAGGAAGCCAGAATTATTAAATATGAAATAGGTAGATTTATTAAAGCTTTACGTTTTTAACTGTTTGTTTGAAAACAAATAAAAAGGTCTTAAAAAGAAAAAAAAAAAAACACTTAAAATGCACAAATCCAAACAAGGAGAAATAAGGATAAAATGTGTCAGGAAAAGTATACAGATGAAACAAGATGCAATGCAATACCAACATAATAAGAATAATGTAACATGCAAACATAAACCTATATTTTAGCCTTGCCAATGTCAAGCTAAGCAAATGCCAAAGTGTGTGAATACAATGTGTCAATTTTGATAACGTCACACATTTAAGAAGAAAACCTTTTATGACAAAGTAATACTTTCCTAAGAGATCTCAAAGTCCATTATCAGGCTCCTACTCCTTCCCTATTGGAGTTCTACTCAAGTTATTCACAGAAATAAACAAAACCTAAAATTATTATGTGCAACACATTCTTCCTCTCTCAAAAGATTAAGGCCATAAAATAAAAAATGCAATACAATATTGCTTATTCGATCAAGTCCACAAAATAAAAAAAAAAAATCCAAAATCAATACTAGCCCCCTAGTAGTAATACTAGATGATGATCATAACTGTCAAACCCTTCTGCCCCAACAACAAGTCCAGAAACACTTTGTAGAAGGGCGAGTAGTAAGCAAGAGGGATGTTCCATCATCTGACAGGAGTTTGTTATGGCTTTCTTTGGCTGTATACAGTTTCTTAGCAAGTAAAACATTCTGAAAGAATGTCTTGAGCACCAGTAAATAGTAGATCGGCTCAGAGCCTTCTACAATGGCTATGAATTATAAGCAGGGCTTGAAAAATGTTAGGGTTCCTCACCAGTCAGTCAAAAATTTCACCAGTCAGCATGACCGGACTATAGCCTTGCAATTTATGTTAAAACATTTTAGGGACAGATAGAAATTTCTTTTGGAGGTATATAATCACCATGGGGGAGGGGGTTATTTTTTACTATATAATGAAAAAAGTACCGTAAATTTCGGGGGAAAAAGTTTTCCCTACGTTATGTTAAAAACCATTTATGCTTACCCATATTTTGGTAAAATATCAAATACAGTGTCACGTCAGGTAAATAGACACCAAACATGCCAAGTCTTAAAATTGTGGGCAACGCTTTGAACGCTTTTATTGCTCATAAGTTTAGTGCCATCAGTGATTAATGGCCCTAAAATTATTGCTCACACTTCGACGTTCGCGATTATATGTAATACGTGCGGCACAATCGTCATTTTCGCACGTAGGCGCATCCGACGCATGCTTGCGTGTGTATGTGGGGGGCGGGGACTTAAAATTTTTTTTTCTTTTTTCATTTTTTTTTTGCTTCTTTATTTTTATATATTACTTTTTTTTTAACACACAACTTTATTGCTATTACATGGGGGGCTAAGAAGCCCCCTATGGGATAGCTAATTTACATGACAGGTCCTCTTTATGGAGACGTCAGGGGTCTCCAAGACCCCTAATGTCACCTAGTGACCCCCAGAGAAGCTGATGAAGCAGAGATCTGCTTCACCAGCTTCTGTAGCTGGGAATGACAGCTGAATGCAGGAAGTGATGTAATTTACATCACTTCCTGCATTCGGGGACCAGAGAGGAAATCGTGTACCGATTTCCCTTTGATCTCCTGTCACAGAGCAGCCGCGCTGGTCCCGGGTACAACGGATCTCGGGACTGACAATGACAGCTGCAGGGAGGGGGGAAACTGCACTTAATACAAGCGCTCGGGCATCTCTAGGGACGCCCGATCGCTTGTATGTAAAGCTGCCGGCCGTTTAATCACAACGGCCAGCCGGGAAGCTACTCGTCCGGCACAGATGAGAGGACGAGCACATTTTTCAAGCCCTGATCGTAAATATAATAGTGTTTCCCACTTCAGCACAAAGCTCAGAAAATTATTTAACTATCTTTACTCTCAGCTATTTATTTTTTTGGTTCGGCTACTAAAAAGAAATAGTAACAAATTCAATATCAGAACTTTATTTCTAAAATCATTTACATAGAAATATATTTTCACAGGTGATGAATGTCAGGTTCAAGAATAGTCTGAAGTTATTTCAAGGTGTGATCATGCGGTTTGTGAAACGTGCTTTTAAAAGTTGCCCGACACAGAACATTGAACTGTTCAATTGTGAAGAAAGACAAAACATTATAGACACTGCATACATTTATTTAGATATACCACAGGGTGTAGTTAATGGCATTAAGCAGAGAAACAATCTGATGTACCCTTTAAAAAAAAATGAAAAAAAACATCTGGACTTCAAAATGTCTTGGTTCTAGAGAAGATTCGTTCCACCCACATATAAAACTAAAGTACCAATTTTGTACAGAGCTGTAGGCAAATACTGAAGAAAATTCTTAAAGCTGAACTATGGGCGAAACAAATCTCTCTACACAGCTTTCAGTACAATTCTGCTTTGATTCTTCCTTATTTTTTCATTTATTGATTGTAGGATTTCATAGTGAACGTAAAGGTTCCCTTACTATAGTGACAGGGCTCCCATTTCCTATCTACAACATCGGTCACCACAGCCTGCTCGCCATCTCTTGGGTGACCAGTCTTGTCACTACCCTCTCAGTGTATTAATGCATGAAGTGTTAAAGAACTTCAGGGGGAAAAATGATTAACCCTTGCAGTGGGGCTACCCCCGCACTGCAAGCGTAAGTTGCTCGTTTTCATCTTGGTTCAAAAATAACAGTTAGGCCTCAATCACACTGCCGGTTTAGAGGAGTCTTTTTTTTAACCTAGACACAAAAACGAGCAGTTAACCCGTGCGGGGTCATCATGTCATCACTCCCTGCAGTCCAAGGAAAAGAGTGTAGGGTGCTGTTGGAACTTACAGTAAGGCTTTTTGCCTATTGCCAGCCTCCTGATCCCCTGTACTTATTTGGTCCAAGTTTGTGAATGAAAAGCAGCGTCAGCACTGTACTTGCAGTGTTACAGCACTAACAGCAAGAGAATTATAATTTATTCAGTGCCCAGAATCATCCTGAAGCAAAGAAAGGAGAGTTCTCTAACCCCCACACATACGCAGCTCTGGCTCTTAATTAGAAGTTAGAAGCGTGTAGATGGCTGCACAGGCAGGGACAGCGGAACAGAGAACTCCCTTGGTTTTTGCTTCAAGATAATTCTGGGCACTGAATAAAACACTGAATTCTTAGGGTCAGTGCTGACACTGCCATTCATTTATTCATGATCAATTTAGAGCAAGATAGTACAGGGAACTGGAGACAAGAGAAGTAAGGGAACATTGAAGAGGAAGAATGTTAATGTCCGGCAGGCCAGGGCTCTTGAAAAGGCTGTGCGGGCCAGTGTGCAGGCAGTAAATAAAGCTGTGCGAATACACTGCCAGTGTTGTTACTGACTGAACTATTTTATGTTTCTCTGCTACTGCCTTGCTAAGCACTTTCAGCATCCAGAGTTTTCAGGCAACAGGCAGCCTGAGAGCCGTCTCCTCCCCACACCGCCTCACTAAGCATCCTGGCAGTTTCTCTCCTCCCCACTGGGCGCCGGTCTGTGTCCCCGCCGATCCTTGCTGCCTCTGCCGACACAGGCGGGGGAGAGCAGGGGGGAATTGGAGGAGACACAGCACGGCACCCAGCATGGAGGAGGGATGCACTGAATTTTTGAACAGTAGAAAGGCATCATGGCACACTCACAAACCAGCATGTAAAACAACTTGTCTCACCACTAAGGACAATGACAGAGGTTTGGATACACGTCTTCTGCAAAGGATGTGTAAGCCGCACTGCCGCGCCAAGGCACCTCTTATAGTGCGGTCCTAACTCTAAACTATGAGAGTCTCCATCTTGGAGCACATGGGGCAGAAGATATCAAATTTTTTGTGTGCACCTTACTGTATAACTGGTAACAAATTGTTGAGTGCGGTTGTCGTTTGTTTTGCTGCACTGAATTTTTGGACGCATTTTGGTACTATCAGCATTTTGCCCCAAAATTTCGGTGCATCCCTAATAGTTGCAGCCATCTTTAGATAGACAGAATTAAAAGGTCTTAGAATTTTAGAATTCAGAAGAGGCAGAAATTAGCTAATCATGAACAATGGGGGAAGGAGAAGGCAGAACCGCAACTGGTTGTGGATCATGGGGGGGACATCAAGGTGGCAAAATAGAAGCTGATCATGCCAGGGGGTGGAAAAGAGAAATTATAGGCTGCTGTCCAAGGAACACTGAGAGAAGGAAGTCAGAAGCTGATGTTAGAGTGGGGGAGAACGAAATGAGGCAGATTAGAGAATGTCTGATCATTGACAGGAGACAAGGATGCCAAGGGGGAGCTTATCTTGGGCCTTTTGGAGAAAAGGTAGAGTAGGGTTGAGTGTGGTTGGGGAGCAGAGGGCAACTGACTATAGGGAAATAAGGGATAATGGAAACTTATGGCTGCTGAGGGGTAGAGGGGAGAGCAGCAGCTAACCATGCTCAGTTGAGCAAGGATGAAAAATTAAAGCCAGTGAGCTAAAGACAAGAGGAGGCAGAGAGAGAACTGATCCTTTAATGTGGATATGAGTGGTATCGGGAGCTAGATCAGGATTGTGGACCAGAGATAGAGGAGAGAGAGGTAGAGTGGGAACTGATCATAGTTGGCTGCGGGTGGTGGACAGAGGGGAAGGCGTTTGTGGCCAAGGTGTGGAGCAAGTCAAAATTGGGGATGAAAGAGGCTGTTGGGGAGCTTGAAGCAGGGGAAGCG